ACCGTCTTGAGGCCGTAGTTGGCGGCCACCGTGGCCAGCGTGGCGTTGTTGGCCGAGGCGATGGAGCCGTTCATGGCCGCCGTGGTGCTGTAGTTGGACAGCTTCAGGTCCACGCCGTCCGGGGTGCTCTTCGTGGCCACCACGCCCTCCAACACGTCGAAGGCCGACTGGTCTGCCTTGTTGGAGAGACCCGTGGTCAGCGAGCTCTGCAGCGCTGCGATGCTGCTTCCGTGCGCGGCCACCTGTCCGTCCGTGGTGGCCAGGGCCGCCGCCGTTGCTAGGGGCGCAATTGCCGGCGCCAGCGCGCTGCTGTCCAGCTTTGAGGCCAGCTCGGCGGTGACTCGGTCGTCCAGGGACTGGATGGGCTGCCGTGTTCACCGCCAGGTCAGTTACTTGGGCGTAGGGCGTCAGAGCGAGGGCCAGCTGCTGTGACGTGCGTGCCGTCAGTTACCTCTCCGTTGTCCAGGACCTCCGGGATGTTGCCCGTGACAGGTGTTGTACTTTCACAACACGCCCTCACTTGAGTCGCTATGGGTCATTCGGGGCCTTCGTAGCGCTGGGTGGTAAAATTATATACCATCTCGCAACAGCCCCTACCAGTACGCGAAGTGAGTGAAATGTGGAATGACGCAGTGTCCGATGGCGTCGGACACTGGGCATGAAGCGAGGTCCTTCACTTATGAGACCTCTGATGAATTGACCGATGGCGTCAAAACGCTTGGGACACCTCGGCCTCGTGATGAATTGGCCGGCGAAGGACACTTGTCTCAGCGGTTATGACCTGCGGGGCATTCATGAGCCAACCTTGCCCATTCATGAGCCAACCTTGCCCATCCATGAGCCATTGATGAATCACCCGGTTCCATTATGGACTCAAACTTGCCAAGAACCGAGTCCTCTCGGGAACCGCTTTTGCGCACTTTTCGGCCCGGTGACGAAGCGGTGACAAAGCGGTGACAAACGGTGACAACCTCGGCGGGCTGGAATTCGTCGGTTTTCCGGGCCGCGGAAACCTGAGCAAAGTGGTCGTCTGGAGCCCGCTTTCGACCGAAAACCAGCGAAACTTGAGGCTCAGCCATCCCACTCGCCGTCCGACACGGAAAAACGGACTCTTCGGACTCGACCGTTTTGAGCGCTTTTTGCACCAAAAACGGAGCCGGACGGAGCGGTGACGTCAGCGGTGACGGCTGACGGACCACCTCGGCGGGCTGTCGGGCTCCGAGCCTGGTCCTCGGCGGGCTGTCGGGCCGCGGAAAACCCTGCGGAGAACGAGTTCCGGAATTGGGGCCGCTTTTGCGCACTTTTGCGACCAAAAAGCGAGTGGTGACAAAGCGGTGACAAGCGGTGACGAGCTCAGCGGGCTGGAATTCGCTGGCTTTTCGGGGCAGAAAACGGAATTCGGAGCACGGCGAACGTCTGCCGGTTTTCGGCGGAAAACGAGCGAACTTGGAGGCTCAGGCACCACTTTTGACGTCTGACACGAAAAAACGCACTTTTCGGAGTTGGCCGTTTTCAGCGCTTTTTGCACCAAAAACGGAGCGGTGACGAAGACCGGTGACATCGGAAAAACGTTCAGCAGGTTGGAGAATTTGGCTGTTTTGCAGGGTTTGGGGACCAAAAAACATGCCATCCATGTAATAAGTGCCGAACAAGCAAAACACATTAAACCAAAAACTCCACAAAAGCCGCGGCCAGCTCCCATTTAGAAAAATGGCAATCCAAGGCAAGGTGGCAGGTGGCATGAGAGTTATAGCCGAGCAGTCCGACCCGCTGACCGCTTACAAGCCGTGACCTGTGCCCGGCCTACGTCTGCTGGATGGCCTTAATTCAAGAATTTGTTTGCTGCCCGCTGCTTCCGCGAAACATTTTGGCTACTCTTGGGCTTTCCCTTTTTGTCGGCCAGTAATTATGCTGCAGGCGACGCGGAAAAATCGGATATAACTCTAATGCGCCTGCCACAGACTTTGCAGTATGTTTCTAGCTTGCATGTCCGAGCGGGCCATGTTTGGCAGACAGTGTCCCAATTTTGCCCGGCAAATTGTGCGCAGGATGCGGATGTAGCAACCAGGGCCAGTGGCAAGGGCAGCGATGCTTCACTTCCACAACTCCGAGACTAAGTTGTCATCGTGTTTGTGGCGGGCAGATGGATGAGGAGGAGCGTTTCACGTATTGTGCTAATCCCAAACCGAGGCGCTGCCACGATTTTCACATTCGGCTTTTGGTGAGGCTCGCCGGCTCATTGATTCTTCTGTGGCGTGTGACTGTGTTTTCCTTTTGGGTTTTCCTTGTTGGGCTGGTCTGTTCTTGGTTCGGTTGTTGGGTCAGTGGAGGCTTTTCTCTCAGCTGTGTGCCTCGGTGCAAGCTAAACAACTGCGATACACGTTGCCGCGTTGATATTGGGTCCTTAGGGCCCTGTATTTTGCCCTGGCTGGGCCGGCCCCTTTTGCGCGTTTGCCGTGACCCTGTGGCGATGGACATCGCTGCTTGGGCCTATGCAGAAGGTAACATTGTGTGTTGAGGATATGGTGTGTACTTCGGTGTCGATAGCCATGCAACCTTGTCTGGGGACGTGGAACTTGAATTCCTGACAGCATTGATGCTATTCAGACACAGTTTCTACTGGTTGACGGTCCTGCAGCGATTGACCGAACGCGGCATACCTTCTATTTTGGGCTTGGCTACGTGCAGACGTATGTGGCTTGCAACTTCTGGACGGTGGAGCGCGCATGGCTACACAAGAAGGATTTGGAGTGAAACCCGGGTCCGTTCTATTTGTCAGGTTGTGGATGGGAGCCTCTGCCCACTTGAAGAGTAGAAATTTCCAGGCAAACGACCAGGAATTTGCTTCCTGCATTTTCCTGGGCCAACCTCAATCCTCTGCCGTCATTTGGCATTCCTGAGGGTTTCATCATTCGCACCTTGCATGACGCAGCCTGGGCACGTTTTTCAAGTCCAGAACAAATCAAATAGCCATTTTTGGAGCACTTAGCGTCTGCTGAGTCTGGCCCCCCTGCCAAGCTCGCACAATGCTCGGGGCTCGCCGCCAATTTGACACACGAGGTGGTGGGGTCCCATCCGATTTTCCCCCACCTCCGGTGGCCATGATGCAGTTAAGCGTCGAATGAATCACACTGACTTCACATCGAAAGCCTTCCACTATGTAGAGACCCTTCAGCCATTTTCGGGTCCCTGGATGAATCTGGGCCCAAGAGGTTTGTAACTTCCGCAGATTGCAAGCAATTTCCCATTGCGCAAGTTAAGACGTCACACCACGGTAGCTTTGGGCAATGAGCCTTCGTTCGGGTTCGAGGCTTCCCAGGAAAGTTGATATAAACAAATACCAGGATCACTGGCCAGTTTATGAGGAGCTGGAAACCAGACACCGGAAACCTGTGTGGTGAGCCGAAAGCCGACGATTCGCACACGCGCGCGCTCCGATTGGCCCAGCACCTCGAAATTTTGATTGGCCGTTGCGGAGCTGGCGCCATGCCGAACCCTCGAGTGTTCTTTGATATGGAGATTGGCGGCCGTCGGGGGCCCTGCACATTTCCGTGCAGCCAAAACAACAGGGAATTGGAACAGCCCCTTCAGCAACCTGTAAGTTCACAAAAATGGCCATTAGAGGCAATCTTCAATATATATTGTGCGTGCTCTTCAAGTGAATTTCTTTGAACATTAATTCGAAAAGGGGGGCAGGCCTTGCACTTCCCTTGTTTGCTTGGGTAGGGAAGACTCGGAAGGCTAGGTTAATATATTGGTGGATGTGAAAGGTGCAAGGTCCCGGTCTCTTGCCCTCAATTGGCTAGAAGCAAGGGTTTGCTCGACGCCCGAAGCAGGTCTTTGTGGGAGGCAACAGAGGGGGCCCTTCCGTAGCCTCCCGTTGGCCATCGGAATCCGGACCAAACATTATCTGATGGATCAACAAATGGCACCGCGCGGTCCTCGGACCGCGGGTCAGAAGATCGTCCATGGTTCCAGGGCAAACAACATTTTGGGGTGGCCCAATTGGCGGAAGCTTTCGCGGAAGGGTTTGATACTTCGCATTCTTTTTTGGTAAAGGGGGGACTAGGTTTATTCCCACTGTGCTTCTGGGGTTTCCTCGCATGCGGATTTTCGTTCCCGGAGGCCCTGCCGGCCGGATCGAGATGGAGCTCTTCGCGGACGGATGGGGATGGGGGGGATGGGGGGGATGGGGGTGTGTGGTTTTGCGGGGCGTTTTCTTCTTCTTCTTTTCTTCTTCTTTTTTTTCTTCCCCCGGAGGGCGCGCGCGATTCTCGGGGTCCCCCATGTGACACGGCAAATGGGCCCAAGCCCAGAACTGTCCGCCTTCGAGTCCGTGAAAGAGGACACCGTGCCCAAGACCGCAGAGAACTTCCGAGCGCTTTGCACCGGCGAGAAGGTGGGGTCGGCTCCAGCTTGGGTTTGTGGGGGTTTGTGGGGGTTTGTGGGGGTTTGTGGGGGTTTATGGGGTTTGGGGCCCAAGAGCGCATGTTTATATTGGCCAGGGTTCGTGGGATATGATGACGGCTCCTACAAGTCTTGATGTGACACATGTGCAGCTTGCAGCGGACACTGGGCACTGGGTACGGGTCGATCGTCCGCTCCGTGCCTTTTCGAGCGTTTCAAGCCTGCAATTCTTGTGTGATTCTCGCTCCCCCGCCCAAATCGTGTGAGTTCGCCATGCTTTCCTACCTCTACGTGGTAGCACTGGCCCTCGGGGATGAATCATGCCTGATGCAGCACAAAGACATGGTCAAGCACTGGCCACACTCCGGGCAGGAGGGCGCACCCCAAGTGTTTGACTGCAATAATCTCCATGACATCGGCAAGTTTTGCAAGAAGCATCGAGGCAAAGCGGCCACAGGGCCAAGCTGCAGCTTCTCCTGCAGCAGCAAGGGCCATATCAAAGACTTCCAGAACTCGGGGGAAATGATCATTGGGGATTCCGGCGCCAAGGAGAGGCTGAGCCCCAGACTTTGGAAGTAGCTGATTGCGACTTCATGGGTGCAGCGTTTTGCACCGAACATCCCGGTGTGCAGGCCGAAGGACCCACGTGCGCCTTGTCCTGCAGCGCCCAGCGTGATATCGACAATTTGCAGAACTCTGGAAGCATGACAATTGGCTTGACTCAAAAGCCAGTCCAAGTGTCCGACTGCAACGACATCGAGAAGTTTTGCAAGAAGCATCGAGGCAAAGCGGGCACAGGGCCAGGCTGCAGCTTCTCCTGCAGCAGCAAGGGTCAGGTCAAAGACTTCCAGCAGACTGAGCCCGAGTCGGAAGAAGTTGACTGCACGCGTATGGCAGCGTTCTGCCGCAAACATCCTGGTGTCGAGGGGGTGACAGGCGAGACGAACGGCCAGTTCTGCTCCTTCTCCTGCACTGCCCAGGGGTTTCTTACCGCCCCTAAGGTGTGGGCGGCATAGAACGTCTCTGCTGTGTCGGCCAGTGCCAGTTGGGTTTCTTGGGAGCAGCGCAGCGATGTCTGTGCTGTGTTCCACAAGAACTGCCCGACTCATTATATAATTCAGGCGTGAGAGTGAGATATGCACATAATGCGCGGACTGAACACAAAGCAATTCGATGCCTTCCTCGGTCGCATGATGTTGGAAGCAAATCTGCTGTTGGCCATTCTACAAGATGTTGTCGTCCAAGATGATAAGTTAGAGGGGGTCAGCTTTATGGATTTCCTTCTCGCAAGTTTCTTTTGAGGAAGATTCTCCTGCCTTATTTTTCCGAACTACCCCTCTCCAGGGCAAGGGCCGCTCTGGAAAGCCCTTGCACTACAAGGGCAGCGCGCACGCGGCTAAGATCGGCCGGCCGGATTTTGCGAGAATCGAAACTTTTCGAGTCGGTGGTCGTGTGTGTTTTCATGGAAACCAGACAAGCAAACTCATTTAGTTAGGCCAGAATGTCCAGAAGTCTATGGTCCGTTTGGGGGATGCGTTCAATTCTTTTTTCAACCAGGGCGGCACTTTTTCCATGCTCACTTGAGGAACAGCATTTGAATCATTGTTTTTCAGGGGGCCCTTTTTGGGTTGGTTTAAAAGGGAAACCAAAGGGAACCACTCATTTTGCAGCTTCCGATTCCTTTGAGACAAACCCATGCTCGATTTCGTAAGACAATTGTGGTAAATTGCTCAGGAGGCAGTTGTTGGTGGTCATGGATATGGTTTAGCAAGGCGCACGCGATTTCTCGTGGGAGTGTTGGGCCCGCTCAGCCGGCTCTGTCCTCCTTGTCGGGCATTTTTTCCATAGGCCAAGCTAACAAGAACTGGTGGGCTGAAAGGGGACATGTCCTAGAAGATTCTCACCCTTCCAAGAATCAGATGGAAGAAGAGAACATCAGACGGAAGGTTCTAGTGCAATTCCGCAACAGCGGCTTTTTAATGGCAGGGCAACCATTTTTCGTGGTCTGTGCCCGAAGCTTGACTTGAGAGTTTTCGAAAGCGGAAGTACTAGCGGATACGAGCCATACCGCGGATGGACGAAATCCTGCACCACTTTGAAACCATGGGAAGCCATTGTTTGTTGGTATTTGCAGGGGAATCGAATCATTCTAGGGTTTCGTAGGTGGGGTAGCATTTTGTCCGTCCACAGTATGTCCAGCTTGTGGTAAGGGAAGGAGTTCCAAGGAACTGGGGGAGCTACGGAGCGGGATCGACCGGCTTCGTGCTCAGCGTCTCTCGCCGAGGTTCCACCGCGTGATCCCAGACTTCATGTGCCGGAGCCTGGGAAACGGATCTGGATCTGTCTGAACGTCTTCGGGAACTCGTGGCGTGTTTTAAAGGGACGCCAGGACCACTTCCGGTCGCAGGGGTTTCCTTTGTTCCCTACAATCAATATTCCGATTTTCCGAAGTCCGAAGTCTCGGACGTCGCCGGATTTTTCCGGTGGCGTAAGCTGAGGCCAGGGTGGTGACTTCACCAAGGGCAACGGCACCGGCGGGGAGCCGGGGCCATGGGGAGGGCCATGGGGGCGAGGGGGTGGGTTGGAGAGTGCGTTTGGGGTTCTCGGGTTTGCGCCGGAGCGTTTTTGTTTGTTTGTTTGTGCGTTTCAGGTTTGTTTGGTGGTGTGTTTGGTTTCCCGGGAAAAGGGGGGACATGAAGAGCAAACCGGATTGGCACTTGTTGGTCTTTGTGGGCTTTCAGAGCACACTTTTGTTGGTTGCTTGGTTTTTGTTTGTTCTCTTACTCTTTGGAAGCATAGCATCAAGATTGGACCCCGGCAGGTTGGCGGGCCCATTTTGCAGCCGTTTGAGCTTCGGTCAAGATGTCTACGGTCAAAGTTAGGAACGATTTTCGGGGGGACGCACCAAATTTCCAGCCGCCGGGGACTCATGAGGACATTTTCCCCATAGTTTGCAGTAATACTGCGGATGGACGAGATTTGCTCGCATCATTCACGGGTTTTCTGAGGTGGTGCGAAATGGATGTCCTCCATTCACGATATTGCTCCTTTCTCATTACCTGATGTAGCATGTGGTTCTGTTTGTATGGCATGTGGTGCATGTAGCGGCAGCCTTAGCGGGATCGAAGTCATGTCCTCAAAAGAAATATTGAAATATCTTTTCTATCACTTGCTCCGAAGGTCAACGTCAATGTCATTCACAACTGCCAATTTCTTCTTTGCAGCTGTTGCCCTTTCTTGCACTTGTTTGGTTCTGTTCATTTTGAGGGGGCCAGGGCAAAAACGGGGAACACATGGTTTCTGGAGCATGCCGGGCCGCTCGAGAAGTTTTGGTCGGATGCGCCTTCCTTAGAAACCTCAACTGCGCCATAATCAAACCCGATTCGGGTAGACGAAGGAAAGTACGGGACAATCCCCTTGCCAACAATAGCTGCAGGTATCCGCCTTCTTAATTCTTGAAGCATGCTTCTGGGATTACGACCATTTTAATACCGGGTTTTGAGCAAGTGACTCAACTGTTTCTTGTCGTTGAGCCCAACTGGCTTCCTTTTTGCTTTTTTGGGTCCCCCTTGTTTTCCACAAACCAGGCAAATAATTATTTTTTGCCGGGGTCCTAATTCCGGAGTCTAGGAGTAGATGGAATCCACTCACCTACTTCTACCCAGGTTTGAGGGTTGGTACTTGCCAGACCAGAGCGAATGGCCATTCGCTCAGTCCGAGTTGTGCAAAGCACCCTCAGGTCCATCTACGGAGAGAAGTTCCGCCCGAGGCTCTGCGCATTTTTGAGGGGGATGGAGTTCTTTTTTCTTCTTCTTTGCTTTGGAACACTCTCAATAATTGGTTGTTTGGATTGGTGGTTTCGGGGCTTCAAGCCCCAGTTCCTTGTCAAGCTAGGGAACCTACCCCCGAAACACCAAAACAAACCACCAATGCAAACCACCGATTGAAGATAAGCTGATCAAAACCAGGCAAATCACCAACCAGCAGCAACAACCAAACAGTCTGCTGACACAGCCCGGGGAAAACTTCGAGTCGGATTGGTGGATCTCTTTCTTTACTTGGGTGGAAAAGGCTGAAGGTAGGCGACAAAAAGCCCTTCCAGGGGGAATGATTTATTTGAAATGTTTGGTTTCCCAGCTAAGCGTTGCGTTAAAAAACACAACAAAAAACAATTCTCACAAAACATGGATCGATACATTTTTCTTCATGTGTACTAAAAGGAAGAAGTCCCGCTTTCCCAGGCTTTCCCGAAGCCTTCGCCACACGGTACCCTACCAAACAAATCCAATCGATTGGCTTCTTATGAAAACAAACAGACCCGATGTTTGAAGCACTTGAGCCCCACTCTCTTGGCAGAAATAAGTGTGACAAGCCCTGCTTACTCTTCGCCATGTTTCTTCCGCGCGTTCCTGTGACACTGCAGCAGTTTTTTTTGTATGGGGCAATCTCGGCGGAATTTGAACGGGGGCTGTTTGCCCTGACTGGCCCAAAATTGAGACTTTCCTTGTGGGTCCTAGACCGTCGGGGGCCAAGAACAAACAAAGAGGAGCAAAGGCACAGCAAGGAGGCTGGGGGTGCTGCTTTCGCAGCCGGGTCTGCCAATCACATGCCGGAAAAGAGGCGGGGGAAGCCAAGTGGTCTCAAATTGGTGCGACACGAACATAATTTTCCTTTTTTTTTTTGTTCAACTTCTGGTTTCCCCTTTTTCCCACCCCCCAATTTTTGTTTGGTACTCCCCCCATCTCCCCAACAAGAAATTGACCCGCCCGCTTCTTGCTCGTACCTGCATTTGAACTGGTCCCGAGGTGACGAGAACTTCAAGCACAAGCACTCCGGGCCGGGTATTCTTTCCATGGCGAACGCGGGGCGGCGGACTCTGAGTGAGACTCCGATCGCTCGGCCCTCCGATCGATGGATCGATTGCGGGCGGTTTTTTTTTTGAAGAAAACAAATCCGGTGCCCCATGGGGGTATGGGTCAAGATTCTCTTTTTCCGCTAGGGGGCGGCCGATTTCCAAGAAATGGGTCAATATTTTTGTCCAGCAATGGACCGCAGGTTTGAGTTGGTTGGTTCTATTGACCGGGGTTCCAGAATGGATACTCGATTTTTTTAACCCACATCCAAATGGGACGGATTCTGCTTAGATCCAGGGTCAAGATGCGGAAGGGTCGACCGGGCAAAACCACACTTTAATTGGTTTGTCGCTTTGGGAGTCGATACTTTTTTGGTGGCTTTAAAGGGACAGCGAAATGACACCCATCATTTTTGGGGGGTCCAACCTTGAAGCATCCAGGTGGGTTTAAAAATTTAACTGGCGGAACTGGTCTGGTCTCCCACAAAAACCCAAAGGCGCTCGCCAATTTTCGATCCGCCAGAGAATCAAAGACGAGCAGTTCGGGCGCATCCAAAAGCTGGCAGGATGGCTTTGCATTGGGCATCCTTTTCTTTGTTCAAATGATTCTTATGTTTTTTGTTTGTTTGTGGGAGGCCATTTCTCCCTGCAAGGCCATGCTTTGCAGAAATGCCTGTTTCAAGAGCATACTAAACAAGTTTTGCCCTTCGGCCGTGGGACTTTTCGTCACTGAGCTTTGGCCTGTGCGCCGGAATCCCATGCTCTTCCTGCAGGGTCGTTCGCCAGATCTTTCACAAAATGGAAGCCAGGGGTTGGACAAAAACATCGGTTTCACCTGTTCCCCACTGGTCACTCTGTCCTTGGGTTTTGGAAAGCAGGTTGCAGTTGGTCGAAAAGTCGGTGGCGATTCCTGGTTGACCTGGTGGTTTTTGCTCATCTACGGGATATTCATCTATTTCCCCTAAAAGGACACCTATGCTACACCCGAACGGCCAATGAGGATGCGGCGGCTAAAGTTCCCAGTCGGAAGGGCCGAATTTACCGCTCCGAGGCCCCACACCAATGGCTCGCAGTTCTTCCTGTGCACCGTGGCTGGGCGCCCAAGAGTTGGACGCGATGAGTCCGGGGCAGGGGAGATGGACACCATTTTGTTTGTTTGAGCGGACCAGTTTGTGAGTTTTTCCTTTCAGAGCTGACAGCTTTGCTTTGGCCTCTGCCCAAAGAAGCGCGCTAGGGTGGTTGCGAATCAGTGCGCGCAAGCGTATCAATAGTCCAAATTCCAAGTCCGTGGTCAAGCAAGCAATGCTTTGCATGCATTTTGCGGTGAGCTGCTCGTGATTTTTACCCGCGAGTTGCTTGACCCATGCCTGCTTTCCACCGCCGCTTCTTTCAGCTTTTTCCAGCCGGCTCAGCTGTGGGACCCTTGGAAGAGATAAATTCCGTCGACCCTTCGCGTCATGAACATGCAGGGCACGGAGGCCGAGATTGAGGTCACCCAAGCCTTGCACCCGTCGCTCGATACAGACCTGGAGTTGCTGGAAGAGGCTCGTCACCCAAGAATGGAGGAATCTCTCTTCGTTTGATTTGGTACGTTTTACCCGGCATTTCCTAAGCTGTTTTGGGCAAGCAGCGCCTCTCATGAATGATGCAAGTTCTTGCTAGGTGCAGGAACCTCTGCATCGTCCGCAGCCAAGCTGTCGAGTCCCTTGGCGTGTTGCGGGGGCCGCGGTTTTGGTGTTGGGCCTGGTGGCGTTGCCCATGCTGCGCAGGAGGGACCAGAGTTTGGCTCCAGGGCTGGGCTTTGAACGCATTGCTTTGCGTCGCAACTTGTCGGGACAGCCAATAGCCGATTTTGGTGCTGCCGCTGCTTCCCATGACTGAAGTGGAGCGCCCCGCAGGAGTTCCGGCCACTCGTTCCTCGATGGCGTCGGCGAGGACGCCTGGCACGCGCTGGAGGCTCAGCTGGATGGAGATCAGCTGCCCACCATGCAGCTGGCGCACTTCAATGAGGAGGCGCCCCAGACATCGGAGTCCATTTTTTGCCTCGAGTTCCGATGGTGGTTTGTTTTATATTTTTTGTTTTGTGTTTGTTTCTTCATTCTTCTTGATTATGTATGATTTGTTTGTTTATGTGTCCGTGTAGTTGTTTAGTCTTGTGACCTTGTTCTCCCTTATTCCTTGGCTTTGTCCCATTCCGTTGTTTCGTTCCCTTTCCTTTGTCTCCCCGTTGTTTTTTTGTTTCTTGGTTGGATTGTCCCTTCTCATTTATTGTTGTTTGACGTATGCTCCGTGTCTTCTTAATATTCCTTGTATTCCCTATTTGCTATTGTTGTTGTTATTGTTATTGTCATTGTTGACATTTTTGCTATTATTGTTAGTATTTTTTGGTTGCGTGGCTGTGTCTTCCTTGCTTGTTTGTCTTCTTTCTCCTTTCTCACACACACGCACACCCACACAGACACAGACACATAGATATAGACAGCTAGATGCAAACGGACACACACACACTCACATGCATGGAGACAAGCTGACACACACACAGACAATGTTATCGAGAACAGTCTGATAAAAGACAGAATCCAAGGAATTGACAGAAGGTCCCGGAGAACAGCCAAACAAAGCAATCTCAGGCTCCAAACCAAAAAAACTGACTGAGAACAAGGCAACGGCCAGCTCTGCCGCTAGGCGGGCGACGTACTTTGCGTAGCGGACGTGGCGCAAGGCGTTGCCCGCATCATGGCACTTGGAGCTTTCATCAAGGCACGCAAAGGGTGGAGCAGCCTTCCTGGCAGTAAGAATGTGTTGGTCGCCACGTGCTCAAAACCGATTCGGGTAGATGAAGGTTAAGGGGCCGTCCCAGCCAGAAATAGTTGCGGCCGCCTTCTGAATTCTTTACATGGTTCTGGGTAGACCATTTTGGTACCGGGGTTTTGATCATGACTCAGGTGCCACTTCTTGTGGCCAAGGAATTCCCCTTCAAAGTGATAGGCTGGTCATGAGATGAGAACTTCACTGTGGTTTCACGGAAAGGGTGATTTCCCGCGCACGTGCCAGGGAGTCGACTGATGTCCAGCTTGGAATCGGTTTGACCAAGCCAGGGTAGATTTGGGGATTGGTTTCATGTTGTTTATCTTTGTCAGTTGGGACTCTGCGAACGCGTCGCAAGGTTCAGGGCGCCTGTTGTGCATGATGTTGGGTTTGACTTTTCGGGCTTCTTGGTGAGACTATTTTCCGAGTCTTCCCGTTCCGTGTGACTTGAGGGGTCGTGGAAGTCGGAAGGAACTTGAAGAAGGAGCGTTTCGCGCGCGTCTTTGGATGGTTTGGATCGCCAGGGTCGGGGGCTTGGAGCGTCCTAAAACTAGCGCATCGGCAAAGGGGTCCCAGAAAGCCTAGAGAAGCTTCAAGGTAGTTAAGGGCTCCTTAAAAGATACATTTTGCAACCATTTGAAACATGTTGTTTTTTCAACACCAAAATACAGGGAAACCACTATTTACAAGTTGCAATGTTCAGGTGTATAATGCATCCGGACCTCTGTAGTTCTCCCCTGAAAGCGTGCCAACCTTTATGGGCAGACCTTGCCCGGCAGGGCACCACCGTGGCGTGCGACTTCGACAGGATCAAGCGGGTTCTGAAGCGGGGTGCGACTGAGGTGGACGCGTGGCGAGTTGGGTTCGGGCGGAAAAAAACCGGTCACACAACAGCTAACTTAAAACGGGCGTTTCTTTTTGCTGAGGTTGCTCCTTTGGGTTTGCTTTGGAGGGAGACCAGAAAAAGACCAGCCATGGGGCTTCCCATCCATTTAGCCTCGTGAGTGACATGCCGAGAGCCACAGAAGGCCGCCCAAAGCCAGCGACGCTGGGATGTTTTTGGCAGGGGCAGACTTGGTCTGCCATGCAAGATGTGTCACTTGCAGCTCTCTAAGTTGACTTTTCCCCGTTGAGACGCCCGATGTTCGTTTTTTTTTGGTCCCCGTCCGAGGAGCAGCAGAGGTGTGCGTCCCTCATCTTCGGGGTCATGTTCCAGGCAGAGCTGGGCATGGGGGTGATTGCCTCCTCCGTCTCCACTTGCTGCCAGATGCACTTGGGGTCCTGTTAAGTGGAGCCAAGAACCAAAAAGCTTGCGGTCCAGTGTCAATAGTTTCTTCCTTTTTTGTTTCCGGGACCATGGTTGTTTCGGTATTTTAACAGGGCAACCCAGAAGAAACACCATCATGTCAGAACGGGTCTCCACACACACACACAAACAGACACAGACACAGACACAGACACAGACACAGACACAGACACACAGACACACAGACACACAGACACACAGACACACAGACACACAGACACACAGACACACAGACACACAGACACACAGACACACAGACACACAGACACACAGACACACAGACACACAGACACACAGACACACAGACACACAGACACACAGACACACAGACACACAGACACACAGACACACAGACACACAGACACACAGACACACAGACACACAGACACACAGACACACAGACACACAGACACACAGACACACAGACACACAGACACACAGACACACAGACACACAGACACACAGACACACAGACACACAGACACACAGACACACAGACACACAGACACACAGACACACAGACACACAGACACACAGACACACAGACACACAGACACACAGACACACAGACACACAGACACACAGACACACAGACACACAGACACACAGACACACAGACACACAGACACACAGACACACAGACACACAGACACACAGACACACAGACACACAGACACACAGACACACAGACACACAGACACACAGACACACAGACACACAGACACACAGAGACACAGAGACACAGAGACACAGAGACACAGAGACACCAGAGACACAGAGACACAGAGACACAGAGACACAGAGACACAGAGACACAGAGACACAGAGACACAGAGACACAGAGACACAAGAGAGACAAGAGACACAGAGAGGCACAGAGGCACAGAGGCACAGAGGCACAGAGAGGCACAGAGGCACAGAGCACAGAGGCACAGAGGCAGAGGCACACAGAGGCAAGAGGCACAGAGGCACAGAGTCACAGAGGCACAGAGGCACAGAGGCAAGAGGCACAGAGGCACGGCCAGAGGACAGAGGCACAGAGGCACAGAGGCACAGAGGCACAGAGGAGGCACAGAGGCACAGACAGAGGCACAGAGGCACAGAGGCACAGAGGCAGAGGCAGAGGCACAGAGGCACAGAGGCACAGACAGGCACAGAGGCACTGACAGCAAGACAGACGCAGACGCAGACGCAGACGCAGACGCAGACGCAGACGCAGACGCAGACGCAGACGCAGACGCAGACGCAGACGCAGACGCAGACGCAGACGCAGACGCAGACGACGCAGACGCAGACGCAGACGCAGACGCAGACGCAGACGCAGACGCAGACGCAGACGCAGACGCAGACGCAGACGCAGACGCAGACGCAGACGCAGACGCAGACGCAGACGCAGACGCAGACGCAGACGCAGACGCAGACGCAGACGCAGACGCAGACGCAGACGCAGACGCAGACGCAGACGCAGACGCAGACGCAGACGCAGACGCAGACGCAGACGCAGACGCAGACGCAGACACAGACACCGACACAGACACCGACACCGACACCGACACCGACACCGACACCGACACCGACACCGACACCGACACCGACACCGACACCGACACCGACACCGACACCGACACCGACACCGACACCGACACCGACACCGACACCGACACGCCCATTGCCCCCACCCCCACCGCCCCCGCCGCCCCCACCGCCCCCACCGCCCCCACCGCCCCCACCGCCCCCACCGCCCCCACCGCCCCCACCGCCCCCACCGCCCCCACCGCCCCCGTCGCCCACCGCCCCCACCCCACCCCGCCCCACCGACACCCCACCCCCACCCCACCCCAATACCCACCCCACCCCCACCCCACCCCCGCCCCACGCTCATTGTTGCACATGGACTCTTTTGGTGCAATCCCAAGAGTAGAAAGGAATGTCTTGGCATGCCCCACCCTGAAAGAACCAGCTAGTTTGTAGTAGTAGAAAAAGGGGTGAGGGGTGATGAAGACCAGATGAACATCCTCTCTTTGGTTGTGAGAGAGTGTGATAAAAGCGCACGGTATACCTTCGTGAAGTAGTATCAATAGAAACAAATAATGATGTCCTCCTATCTATCACTTCCATGTTTTTTTCTAAATTAAACGTTTGCTAGCTCACCAAGATAGAGCATGGAAATGGAAAGAGGAAAATGTTAATCAAATGATTAAAGCCACAGTAGCAGATAACAGAGTTAGAGAAGATCGAATGTCAGTGAGGAAGAAGTAAATAGTAAACAAATGCTGGTCAAATAAACATAAAAGGAAAGAACAAACAGAGAGATATAAAAAAGGGTCTGGAGACGTAGCCTGTCCGTGAGACGTGACTTAAGCAATAATAACAGTTAAGCGTCTCTTCATTCATCACTCTATTTGGACAGGCAATATTCTGATGAGAAAACTATTAACTTCCTTCGGTCACTTCTAGCGATGAACATGATTTTATTAATGAAGATTGATTCAGTAGGATTTGACAAGTATTAGCTTGGGAGGCAAAAGGAAACCCCTTAAAAAGAGAAGGTGAGAAATAAACCCCAATCGATACAAATTAGTTAACATTACTCATGAGATTCTAGGAAATAAATAGCCTTTCGTAAATAGTGTTCCGTCCTTCTCCAGCAACTTTGAACTATTAATATCCTTTTCATTCTCACCTAAAACTCAAGAATATTGCACATATCTAATGATACAATAGGAAGTGAGTGAGAGATTTTGCAAGGAAAGTCTAATAGAACAAAAGCAGAAAGAAGATACAACTAAATAAACTCCATGAGTAAAGACCAACAGCCTCTTCAGAGTCAAGCAAACTATCTATGGTTATAATTTGTGTTTATTCTTCATCATGCACCAATATCTTCTCCGATATATTTGTGTAAATGGGATGAAGTGGTCACGGGGTGAATTTAAAGGCAATAATTACAGAATCGTTGTAATCTCATAGCTTACTGCGTTTTATTGTCTTATTGCGTTTTCTATCATATCCATCATTGTCCACTCTAGGTTTTTCACTGTGTTGGAGAGGGTTCTTGATGGACAAGAATAATGTGTCTCCCAATAAACCGTTTCATTTATTAACATTCTTTTTTACTTTCATGTTCTTGGTTCTGTCATTTGCCTATTGATTTACTTATTCATGTATCTATTATGTTTCTTTATAGGCCTTTTTCGTAATTCTTACTAATCCTGATAGCCGTGAAAGACGGGAGAGCAGAAGGAGTGTTAGCCAGTTCCTCTTCATATTTGTTATTACCCCCCGGGTTTTTTTCCCCCATCCAGATGCCTCCAACGTTTACAATGCGAGAGAGAGAAAGAGAGATTGGGAAGATAGATAAACAAGTAGAAAGGTTGCAAAGTGAACAAGTGCATGAGAATGCAACCAGCAGATGAGAGACTATGAACCTATTCTTGGTAATGATTAACTTTCTGTTCCAACCATCGTGATTTTTTCAACCTCACACCCAGAAGCATTTCTATACTTCTCAGACAATATTGTAAATGGAAGACAACAAAGATAGACATTCAAGCAATAAATGGGATGGTAAACCGAAAGGCAATGATCTTAATAACGACATGTCCATCCACAAATGTTTCCTGGATGAAGTGGAAGAGATAGAAAGGGAAGGATACAAGCTCTTGGGACCACAAACCAACCTCTCTTCCTCCGTGACTTGGACAAGGAAAGGACGTCAACGATGAGAAGAACCCAGTCCTTACACCATCCTATGATCTAAAACTCTATTATTGTCCTTTCATTTCCAGAAGATTATTAGCAAAAGAGAGAGACCGCTAGCATTTGCTATTAAAAAGGTTTTAAGGATTCTGTAGTCAAGTCTTTATGGGTTGAAGATGTTGGTGGGTGACATACATGGGAAAATCAGGATGCGATCGGAGGAAAAGAAAGAATCACGTTACTTCTGCTCACCCTCTCCTATCTTCTCTTCTTCTTCTTCCCAAGCATCACACGGCATAAGATTAACAGCAGCCTATGCTTGAGGAAGAAGTCAAGAGAGGCTTCTCACTTCCCATTTTCAATCTTTAATTTCATCAAAAGGAAACCCCTTAAAAAGAAAAGGTGAGAAATAAACCCCAATCGATACAAATTAGTTAACATTACTCATGAGATTCTAGGAAATAAATAGCCTTTCGTAAATAGTGTTCCGTCCTTCTCCAGCAACCTTTGAACTATTAATATTTCTTTTTCATTTCTCACCTAAAACTCAAGATATTGCCACATTTTAAATGATACAATAGGAGTGGTGAGGAGATTTTGCAAGGAAAGGTTATTAGAAAAAAGCCGAAAGAAGATACAACCTAAATCAACTCCATGAGTAAAGACCAACAGCCTCTTCAGAGTCAAGCAAACTATCTATGGTTATAATTTGTGTTTATTCTTCATCATGCACTAATATCTTGTCCAATATATTTGTGTAAATGGGATGAAGTGGTCACGGGGTGAATTTAAAGGCAATAATTACAGAACCTTTGTAAACTCATAGCTTACTGTGTTTTATTATATTATTGCGTTTTCTATCATATCCATCATTGTCCACTCTAGGTTTTTCCACTGTGTTGGAGAGGGGTTCTGATGGACAAGAATATGTGTCTCCCAATTAAAACCGTTTCATTTATTAACATTCTTTTTTTTTCTTTTTATGTTCTGGTTCTGTTCATTTGCTATTGATTTACGTATTCATGTATCTCATTATGTTTTCTTTATAGGCCTTTTTCGTAATTACTTTACTAATTCCTGATAGCGTGAAGACGGGAGGTGAGAGCAGAAGGAGTGTTAGCCAGTTCCTCTTCTTCATATTTGTTATTACCCCCCGGGTTTTTTTCCCCCATCCAGATGCCTCCAACGATTACAATGCGAGAGAGAGAAAGAGAGATTGGGAAGATAGATAAACAAGTAGAAAGGTTGCAAAGTGAACAAGTACATGAGAATGCAACCAGCAGATGAGGAGGACTATGAACCTATTCTTGGTAATGATTAACTTTCTGTTCCAACCATGGTGATTTTCTTTGCATCGCCAATTTATTCAACCTCATACCCAGAAGCATCTCAGATGTATTGAAAATCGAAGACAACGAAGAGAGACATTCAATCAATAAACGGGATGGTAAACCGAACGGCAATGATCTTATTAACGACATGTCCATCCACAAATGTTTCCTGGATGAAGTGGAAGAGATAGAAAGGGAAGGATACAAGCTCTTGGGACCACAAACCAACCTCTCTTCCTCCGTGACTTGGACAAGGAAAGGACGTCAGCGATGAGAAGAACCCAGTCCTTACACCATCCTATGATCTAAAACTCTATTATTGTCCTTTCATTTCCAGAAGATTATTAGCAAAAGAGAGAGACCGCTAGCATTTGCTATTAAAAAGGTTTTAAGGATTTGGTAGTCAAATCTTTATGGGTTGAAGATGTTGGTGGGTCAGACAATTTGCTCGCGGCTTTGTTGTTGAGCATGTCCTTGTGAATGAAAGGGACGCCCAAGAGCGTGGCCAAATAAAGGATGAAGAGATGGCATGTAAAACCAATTGACACGCACTAACTCTGGGATATGCCATCCACTTCTCACATTCCCTCGCTACAAAAGGAAGCGACGAAGCTATGTACATCTTTCCACAACCTCCGCTCCCTTCTATCGCTTGCGCCAGCTTTTGGCGGGAGGTTACATGGAAAAAACAGGATGCGATCGGGGGAAAAGAAAAAATCACGTTACTTCTGTTCACCCTCTCCTATCTTCTCTTCTTCTTCTTCCCAAGCATCACACGGCATAAGATTAACAGCAGCCTATGCTTGAGGAAGAAGTCAAGAGAGGCTTCTCACTTCCCATTTTCAATCTTCAATTTCATCAAAAGGAAAGAAAGAAGTGATAGAAAGACATGGTAAGTGCCCATCCAATTCGTTATCTTCAATTAGTATTGATGGGCGCTTACCTCCTTGCCAGACGCTTTATTTCTTCATTTCCAAAACATGGCAATGTAAAAGACAAGGCAAGGAAAATGACAAGCGTTGGCTGGGCCGGGAAAGGAACGGTCATCTTCTTCCATCTGTGTTTTTACAGAAAGAAGCGGGTTGTGGAAAGTGGCTTTCTTTTTCTACAAGTAAACCAAAAATAAAGCCAATATCCCCTTCCTTTGTCCCACTTTTAGACTGTTCCATAGATTTTTTTTGATATTTTACAAATTTACCAAATTAATTTGGTAAATTTGTAAAATTTGTAATTTTGGGCTAGATTTTTTGATATTTTACAATTTTTACAAATTAATTTGTAAAAGTTGTAAAATTTGCAAAATTTGTAAAATTTGTAATTTAATTCCTACCAAATTCCACTGGAAGCTAATTTCTCAGACTAGAATTTGCAAAATTTGTAGAATTTGTTATTTTGGGCCAGACTTTTTTTGATATTTTACAAATTTTACAAATTCATTTGTAAAATTTGTAAAATTTGTAATTTTGGGCAAGATTTCTTTGATATATTTTACAAATTTTGCAAATTAATTTGTAAAATGTGTAAAATTTGTACAATTTGAAAAATTTGTAAAAGTTGTAATTTAATTCCTACCAAATTCTCCTGGAAGCTAATTTCTCAGACTAGAATTTGTAAAATTTGTAAAATTTGTAATTTTGGAGAATATCTTCTTTACCTTACAAATTAATTTGTAATATCTGCAATTTCATTCCTACCAAATTCCCCTGGAAGCCAATTTCTCAGACTAAGGTTTGCAAGTTTATGAAATCAATTCCTATACAAGATCTTCCTGAAAGCCAGCTCTCAGTGTGATGTTGATGCCCAGACCTCTCCCCGGCACATTATACATACTCTTCCCTCTTACCCCCCCACCCCACCCCCCACCACCCACCCCCCCACCCCCCACCCCCACCCACCCCACCCCCTCCACCCCCCCCCACCCCCCCCAACCCCCCCCCACTCCCCCCACAAACGCACACCCCACACCCCCACACCCCCCGCACCCCACACCACCCCACACCCACACCCCACACCCCACACCCCCGCACCCACCCCCCACCCCCCCCCCCCCCTCCCACCCCCCCCCCCACGCCCCACCCACCCCCACCCCCACCCCACCCCCACCCCCACCCCCACCCCCACCCCCACCCCCACGCACACACCCCACACACCCCACACACCCACACACCCACACACCCACACACACCCACCCACACACACCCACACACACCCACACACACCCACACACACCCACACACACCCACACACACACCCACACCCACACACACACACTTACCTCGAGAGGCTTCACTAGCCGAGATGAAAAATGCAGTCAGTAAAAATGCTTGAATGCAAATGCAAATCAACAGGTCACAACATCGACACCGAACAGGAAGCAACAGCGACAAACAGAAACCGCAAAAGGAATCAGGAAAGAGGGTCAGGAAATAGGCAGGTACGCCGGATTGATCAGATCCGGTATCCACCGAAATGCCGTAGCTTCATTGGACCGGATAGGCAAATCGGCTCCAGTCCCCCTGCTGCTTAAAGTTTTGCGTCCGTGCTCCAGGACGGTTCACACACACAAGGCCCCCAGTGGGGCGAGCTCACTTATGCAAGGCCCACTTGGCCTTGGTAATAAGAGGCAACTGCAGCATGGGCAGGCACGATTTAGCACTGATTCACACATGACCTGTGCCTCAAAAAAGCTGCCCCGTGTCGGTCCAGCTCATGTCAATGCAGGTGTCGCTTGAACGTGAAAGTGAATTGAACTGATCAGAGTCAGTGCAGAGCGTAAACCGATGAACTGCAAAGTCGGTGTTTGACCGACCTGTCCCTTGCACATGCGGCAGCCTAGGCGAAACCTCATGGTTGCTGCCTTGCTCAAGGTGCAGGCAATGCGACAGGTGCAACAAGCAATGCGAATGGCAGTGCCTCACCTGCAAAATTGCTGCCTTGACCATGGTCAATCGCGCTGAACTGCAGCTTGAATTTGAACGAATGAACGGTCTTCCCCTCGCAGGGGGCTCCCGCATGTGGCGAGTCCAGCCCACAGCGCCATGTCGGACAGGCCGTGGGTAAACACACTTATCTCGAGAGGCTTCGCTAGCCGAGATGAAAAACGCAGTCAGTAAAAATGCTTGAATGCAAATGCAAATCAACAGGTCACAACATCGACACCGAACAGGAAGCAACAGCGACAAACAGAAACCGCAAAAGGAATCAGGAAAGAGGGTCAGGAAATAGGCAGGTACGCCGCATTGATCAGATCCGGTATCCACCGAAATGCCGTAGCTTCATTGGGCTCGATAGGCAAATCGGCTCCTGCAATAATTTTTCATTCATATCTCAGAACCCCGCCATGTGCGACTGCCTGAAGCGAGGAGTTTCCGCGCCTTTCGCCTGAGCAAGGCGACCCCTGTTGTGTGGCTTTCAAATGCACTTTTCTCTCTGGTGCTGGGAAGGGAATGACCCCAAGAAAAGCCATCCCCTATGGTTTCCTTTCTTCGGGAATTTGCAGGTTCATTCCCTCATTCCTTGGCAGCAAGTTTCGCCAGCAAAGGCTCCGGCTCTCTGAACGTGCCAGCAAACTGCGCCGCGAACATCGGCGCCTTCACTGGTGCCCTCGGCGTCTTCATGCAGTCCACTCTCGCCTACGACGCAAACTGCGTCAACAAGGGCGTCACGCCGCAGCAGATCGTCTCTCGGGAGGAGGGTCTTTTGTTGCGCGGGCATTGTTGTTGGCTGAATGTCGCTGGTGAAGCTGCACGCATCGTGATGGAAACTAGATCAGAACGCTCACTTGGGTATGGGTCAAAATTAAACCACCAGGAATTGGACTGCAGGTTGTTGGTCCATGTTTCCACTTAGGGTAACAAAGATGATATCTTTGACCAGCCACTTCCCAACTTGCGTCAGGAAGCCAAGTTGGAGCGGAGGAAGACGGAGCTGATGCACGAGGCCACCAAGTGGCTGAAGAATCGGGGCGCCGATGTCTCGGTGCTTCCCTCCAATCCCGCGGTCCCCAAGGACCCGGATTCTCTCTTCTTTTCTCGCGCTCGGATTTTGTTTGGACAGGGGTCCCGAGTGATTTTGGTCCCGAGTTGAATGGACAGGGATCCTTGCTTATTTCCATCGTTATTTCCATCTTGGACAGAGTTCCCGAGTGATTTCCAACTTGGACAGGTGTCGAAAGGTGATTTCCAACTTGGGGGGGGGGGGGGGGGGGGGGGGGAAAAGGGGTGGACCCCCCAATAAAAACGGGGGGGGGGGGGGGTTTGGGGGTTTTTTTCCCCGAGCGAGTGATTTCCAACTTGGACAGGTGTCCCGAGTGATTTCCAACTTGGACAGGTGTCCCGAGTGATTTCCAACTTGGACAGAGTTCCCGAGTGATTTCCAACTTGGACAGGTGTCCCGAGTGATTTCCAACTTGGACAGGTGTCCCGAGTGATTTCCAACTTGGACAGGTGTCCCGAATCATTTCCAACTTGGAAGGGGTCCCGAGTGATTTCCAACTTGGACAGGTGTCCCGAGTGATTTCCAACTTGGACAGGTGTCCCGAATCATTTCCAACTTGGAAGGGGTCCCGAGTTGTTTCCATTGGACAGGGTCCGTCCTGAGTTGGGAATTTCCAACTTGACAGGGTGGTCCCGAGTGATTTGCAAATTGGACAGGGTCCGAGTTGTTCCAATCTTGGACAGGGTCCCGTTCTGATGTGATTCCAACTTGGCAGGGAGTCCCGAGTGATTTGCAACTTGGATGGGTCGTGGTGATTTCATCTTGGAGGTGGTCCGAGTGATTTCCAAACTTGGACAGGGGATCTTGGAGTTATTTCCCGCTTCGAAAGGGCAGGTCCCGACAGTGATTTCCAACTTGGACAGGGTCCGATTGTGATATTTCCATCAGGGGGTCCCAAGTTGTTTCCAACTTGGATGATGGTCCCGAGTTGTTTCCAACTTGGACAGGGTCCCGTCCTGAGTGATTTCCAACTTGGACAGGGGTCCCGAGTGATTTGCAACTTGGACAGGGTCCCGAGTTGTTTCCAACTTGGACAGGGTCCCGTCCTGAGTGATTTCCAACTTGGACAGGGGTCCCGAGTGATTTGCAACTTGGACAGGGGTCGTGAGTGATTTCCAACTTGGACAGGGGTCCCGAATGATTTCCAACTTGGACAGGGATCCTGAGTTATTTCTAGCTTCGAAAGGGGTCCCGAGTGATTTCCAACTTGGACAGGGTCCCGAGTAATTTCCAACCTGGACAGGGGTCCCGAGTGATTTCCAACTTGGACAGGGGTCCCGAGTTGTTTCCAACTTGGACAGGAGTCCCAAGTTGTTTCCAACTTGGACAGGGCTCCCGAGTTGTTTCCAACTTGGACAGGACCCCCGAGTGATTTCCAACTTGGACAGGGGTCCTGAGTGATTTCCAACTTGGACAGGGGTCCCGAGTGATTTCCAACTTGGACAGGGGTCCCGAGTGATTTCCAACTTGGACAGGGGTCCCGAGTGATTTCCAACTTGGACAGGGTCCCAAGTGATTTCCAACTTGGACAGGTGTCCCGAATCATTTCCAACTTGGAAGGGGTCCCGAGTGATTTCCAACTTGGACAGGGGTCCCGAGTTGTTTCCAAGTTGGACAGGGTCCCGAGTTGTTTCCAACTTGGACAGGGGCCCGTCCTGAGTGATTTCCAACTTGGACAGGGGTCCCGAGTGATTTGCAACTTGGACAGGGGTCGTGAGTGATTTCCAACTTTGGACAGGGGTCCCGAGTGATTTCCAACTTGGACAGGGGTCCTGAGTTATTTCCAGCTTGGACAGGGGTCCCAAGTTGTTTCCAAGTGATTTCCAACTTGGACAGGGGTCCCGAGTGATTTCCAACTTGGACAGGGCTCGTGAGTTATTTCCAGCTTGGACAGGGGTCCTGAGTGATTTCCATCTTGGACAGGGGTCCCGAGTTATTTCCAACTTGGACAGGGCTCCTGAGTAATTTCCAGCTTCTTGGCGGGAAACACACATTCCGCCTTTTTGGCTGTCCCATGAAAGGTGAGTGTCCCTTGGGGGTGATGTTGGGGGAAACATAGGGAGCCCTGCTGGAGTTTTGGAGGGACATGCCGGATTCTGTAACCCATTGATTGTTAGGCTTCCAGTACCCCCACACCACACTTACAGGGTAAGTAGCGGCTTTATAGTGGCTGTATATCCCATCAAGCCCCTATAGTCGTGGTTGGGTAGTGGACACCATCTTAGAGTTTTGAATGTCTTAGGTAGGTCGAGAATGTTTGTTCACGTTCCGTGGGCTCTTTGTGCAAAGCAAAAATGGAGGATGTGGTCTATGGCGCCATCAACCGCTGTGTGTTTCAGCTCGATCTTGGAGCCACGTGCCGCGGCACTGGGAAGAGTTCATTGCAACCACAGACCAGGAGACCGCAGCTATTGGCCCATGTTCCTATTTACCAGCGTTCCATTTTGGGGTTACCCTCTCTTTGACCCTCAGCCACATGGGTATGAATTGCTCAAAAACCGATACCCAAAATGGCTTGCCCTGGTATGTGGAAACATGGACCAACACCTGCGCACTTGGAGATTGATTAGGGGATTTATGTCCACCCAAACACTTTTGAGGGGCTTTCCCATGAGTAATCATAGCCAAAGAGGGACGCGCTACTGGATTTCGCGGACGTAACTATCGTGCCCATGCCGCTCGGATGATACGAACAGCAAGTTGTTGTGTTGCCGCTGAAGTGATTTTGGCGCAGGAGCGCGCTGCTTGTTCGTCCTGTCCTCAAACTAAGGCTCCCCGGAAAACCCGAAGAGCCAGGTCTCCAGCTTGCCCTCTGGTGGTTTTCCTTGAAAAGAAATGACGGGTCCGAATCTGTTTGGGATCCTTTGGGTTTACAAAAGAAAGCTCGGCTGGCTTGTCTTCGGCTTGTCGAATATGGAACGTGCCAACAACTTCACAGCGTAGGACACAGCATGGCAAAACATGAGGGATTGCAGCTATTGAGTTGCATGTACATGTCAATGCCTCATGCAAGTCTGCAAGTCATGTTTGTTTCTTCTGCTCTCAAGGTCAGTTTGACCTCGCAGAGCTGTTCCGAAGGAAACATCCAGCCAGTTGTCTCACTGCAATTCTCTAAGGTTCGTTATGCGAGCTGGGATCATCTTGGGGGACATGACCATTCACTGCGCACCGGACGCTGATGCGGGCCGTGTTTGTGCCATTGACGTCACGGGCTTGATTGCAGTCCTCAGTTTGATCACTCGGTTCTTTGCGCTGGCAGCGAATTCTTGCATCAACATTGTAGGCAGGGCAGATTCGGCAGGTTTGTCAAAGAGTTGTTGCGAAAGTTGCAACGCACAAGGAGGGTTTGTCGATGTCTTCGTTTTGAGAAGAATGTTCCCAGGTGGAATGCGCATTTTCCTGCTCGTTGCGTGTCTAATTAACCTTGCCTACGGAACCCATGTTTGCTTGAGTTTTTTCCAACTAAGTTAAGGGGTTGAGATTAGAAGCATTCAAATCAATCTGTCTCGCTTGGGGTATTTTGGCCCAAGAAAAAGCAAGCGCGCGAGTGACTCCAGCCTGCCATAGCCACGCTTGCTTGACTTTATATCTTGAATCATACATTTGCCTGGTTACCAGCCGTAGACTCACGTCTGCGACTGTTAGCTACGGCGGGGGAAGAGGCAGCGCGTGCGGGTGTATCATCTGAATTGTGGGAATTCTTTGGTTGGCATCGAGCCGGCAGAAGAGGTGGGTCGGCAGGTCGCAGAAGTTCGGCGGCAGTTCGGCGTATTGCGTGACGGTCTGAGCGAGCGCATCCTTTCAGACGAGCTGCCTTTTATTTTGGGCAGCTGGGGCCGATTGCAACGAGCAAAGGTCAACTGGAAGATTCTTCAACAAGTTGAGGAGGAGCGCCAGGGCGAGCAAGAGGGGCCTCGTCATCGGGCGCGTTTTCAGGTCGTCAGATCTGCGGAGGCAACTGCTCCCAGTAGCCGAGGAGCCTGCGTCGTCGTGCGTGGGGCCTGCAGCGCTGGTTGATCCAGCCAGGGCGGATGATTCGCGCGCGTCAAGGCGCTCTGAGCCTACAGGTCATAACTCCGCGGCGGTGGTTTGTGATTTGGCTCTTGCCACGAATCCAAGTGTTCCAAGGAACAGGGCTTACCTTTTGCGTAGCGGCATAGACTTTCGATACCGTTGTCAGCATTTGACTATCGCCAGGTTCTTGACCGGCCCCTTGCGGACGAACGGGCTGGGACTACGACGGCCTTTGCAGCAACGGCTTGAGGCGGTCAGGCAGTGTATTTCAGCCTTTACCCGTGAAGGGTTTCACGTTGTCGCAATTCGAAGTCTTGGTGCTGCAGGATCTCTTGACGATAGGCTTACGTACAGATTTCGTTTCCGACGATAGCGACATAGTCCTCAACAGTCTCATCGTTCAACAGTCTCATCGTTGCACAGCCAGAATCAGATCTCAGCAATTCACACCACCAACCGATAGCTCCTTTCGGCTGGTCGGATTTCTTGAGGATTGTGAGGTTTCGGGGTGCGCGGGGCAAGGAGGCTTGACACATCATCGGAGTGCCCTTAGCCCTCTTGCCCGTGCCACCCTTATCCTCGCCCTTTGCGGGAGCACCTTAGAGCTTTTGAGTCTTTGGGTTTCTAGCTGGATGAAGGTTGCTCCTTTTCTGGCTGCTTCTTGTCCTTCTTGTCCTTTCCTTCCTTTGTCTTGGCTGGCGCTGTTTGGGACTTGGCTGCCGATTGTGTATACCCTGATCCATTGACACGTCGTCTAGGAGTCTAGCTGTGGGCTTCAACGGTTACCCCAAGCTTCGTAAAGCCAAAGCCATGCGCTTGCTGCTGCTGGATCTAGCGTTCCTGAAACATCGACCGCCAAGACCATTGCGGGGGCCTTCAATTGTTTGAATAGAGTGCTTCTGACGGCCTGATCGCTCTCTCAGAAACTTCCAGGGCTGGCGCAGGGTCTGTCCGACATCTTCCAGTGCTTCAACGTCTTCGCCGTTCAACTTAAGTCCTGCAAGATGAGTCTGGGCGGGGCGGGGGGAAGGGGGTCAGAGCAATTGTGGACCAATGTCTCGTCGCCTGTAGCAAGCCCGCGCACAAGGTTGAAGAACGAGTTCCTGAACCAGCGAGCGTCTGCTGCACTGCTTTTCTCTTGAATAAGCATCATCAACTTGGTTCGTTCCCGAGTTGAGGGTTTGGGGGACCTGGGGGATGTCTTTGTGCCCCGCGCCAGCGTTACACCCAAGCCAAAAGGCTCCAGACGTCATTGCCAGCTTGAAAGGGGCTGCTGCTGCGGCTGAAGAGGTGTAAGCAGGCCGCCTGCTGCACCCCCGTGTTGTCAGAACGCATGGGCATGAAGCGGTGGGAACTTGATCTCTATTAAGGGTTTGCCGCAATCCTGCAAGGAGCATGTGCGCGAGACAAGCGAGCCAATTGAGTCTTGCACCGGTGGTGGCATCAGGTCCAGTAGACCTTTTAGGGGAAAAAGTCAGGTACGAACACATGCCCTCACGCCTTGTCCGCAGGTCTTCAAATGAACCAGCAGGCAGACCGTTCGTTGGGTTTTTTAGCAAATTCTCGTATGCGATCAAAGCGGACAGGGAGTGATCCGATGGTTGTCGCAGCACCAGATGCAGTGTCAGGAATGCCAGCAACAGGAGAATGTCATGTCATTATTCTGGTGCGTTTGCAGCGTACCCGCAAACCAAGCGGAACACTGATGGCAATATAAGATGACTTCAACACTTCGGAGGAACCAGAGCTCATGGAAGGCACTGTGTCTGGTCAAGAGCGACGGAGTGTTCCAAATGACCAGATCCAAACTCCCGTCATGGAAAGGAAGATCAGGAGCATTACGGAGGCCACAAGCTGTTCAATTGAAATCTGGTTTCCCAGCAATCCATCCAAAGGAGCGGTGGTGACCTTCACAGGTTTTAAGTTACTGTAGCTTGGTGCTTTACACCGCCCAAACTCCTTCGAGCCTATCCGTTGGCTGGAGGCTTGACTCTGGGTATACCTCAAGGGTACACCTTGCTCAAGGTTGCGGTGAGCCAATTCAAGTGCAGCTGTTGAGCGAAATCAGCCCTACCATGAAGTTCCTGACCATTGGACCATGTCCCTGGGAGAAAACGAACCTATGTGACATCCATGAAAATTGGTAGGGCCCTGAGTTGTAAGGGTTGCGAAAAGAAAGGATAGTGCGTACCAACGCGTGTCATGACAGATTCCGTGTTCTTCTTGAGAAAGAAAGGCTGGCGCAGGAGGCAAGCCAAGGAAGAAGTAGCAGCAAAGGGGCACCGATGCCTCCAACTCCTGCTGCGCGCTTGCGCTGGTACTACTCCTGGTTCTGGCCTAGCGCCTTCGACAACAGTTCCATCCACTTAAGCAGCCGTCACGCCGCTGCCAGTGACTTGTCACTAACAACAAGGCGTGCGACTCCCATGAGGCTGCTAAGAACGCAGCAGCGAGGGGAGGTGCCAAGGAGCTGTTCCCGCGCATGGGACAACTGGTAAGAGATTCCACATCAAAGAATTTCATTTAAGAGTTGGTGTGGTAAGACATGGCTCTTTCTGAAAGGACGTGTGTCGCCAAACTATGCGCAATTATGTGCAGCCGCGGCCAGCCCTTCACAGACAGCAGTCTCAGGGCAATGCGAAGTGAGCAAGCCGGTGACCGCCAGGCGTAAGCCAAGAGTGCCAAACAATTCCTTCAAACTCACCAAGGGCTTGGACAAGCCGGTGTACGGACTGCGTCCGACACTATTGAACTTTGCTGTGTCGGAAACCCGACGTTGGACCAAATCACTGAAGACAAAGGAATCGTTAATTTCCGACTGCAACAAAGAATCCTGACAGGTCAAGCCAATGGGAAAATGACAGTCTTTAGGAAGTCATTGAACGCGTGAATCTCCATCATTACGGAAAACCGTTTGCTAAGGAACTGAAGAAGACGCGAAAGCATTCTAGAAAAATCTTGGCAAACTTCATTCGTTGTGCAGACAAAGACCTCAGTCAAGGGAGCCACGTCGCATCCGAATGGTCGAAGACATGCGAAGGCTGGGATTTGCCAGAGCTAGTCAGGTTTATCAAGAGGCATGGTTTGTTTGTCGCGGAACAGCAAGGTTGTGCGTGCTTTGTGACCAGGAAGGTAAATGTCATCCAAAGATGTGGGAAGTCGAAGCCTCTTCGCGGAGATTTGCTAAAAGCCTCGACGGAGCCAAGTGCAGCCACCCGCATGAGTACAAGCGTTCGCCTCTCGAAGACAGTAGGACATCTATGGCAAGGTGCGTTTCTCATTCCTTGCACCCTTGGATTGATGCAGCGCCGGCGATGCCTGTCAGCTGACGCAGGTGGGACTATGCGTTGAACCTATTCAACATGGCGTCCTAAAGCCCAACCTGATAAGTGCAAGCTCGTGAAGCGGTAACCCTCCGAGACATGTAGGCCGGATAGTCAAATAGCTAAGCTGGAGTCTTTGCGCTTGTCAAGTGGAGAAGGGGGAGAAGAATGCCCCCGCATGGAATCCACTTTTTCCTGCGCACGCATGTCTAATTAACCTTGCCTCCGGAATCAATGTTTGCTTGATCGGTTTCTTAAGGTTGCTGATTAATAACATTCAGTTCTCTTGGGATGTTTTGGCCCAAGCAAAAAGCAATTGCGCGAGCGAAGCTTTGTGTGGTGCCATAGACACTCTTTCTTGACTTTATCTTGAATCGTACAGTTGTCTTTTTGGCTTGTCAATGGGTTTCAAGATCCTCGCCGCAGGGGACGCGGATAGGGGTGCGGACTGTGTCGGCATTGCGGCCGGCATACCGGCCGGTGTTATGGCGATGACGCCTCTCGCATGAAACCAGCAAATGTTGGGCAGCTCAGAATAAGTTCCTGCAAGTTTGCTCCCTGGGATAGGAAACCCTGGGCCCTGGGAATGATGATTCTATTTTCTGAATACCAACAAACAATGTTTTCCCATGGCTTGCAAGGGGTGCAGGCGTGCATCCACAGTATCATGGACGGCGTCATGATGTTGCGTTTGGTTGCGCCTGCTTAAAGAAATTTTCAAGTGCTGGAAGCAAACATGATTTCTCCTGGGGCATGGTTTGGGCATGGTTTTTAGACGTGGGCTTACGCTCGGCACACCGTGTGCAATGATGACCAATCTTTTGCGAGGTTGGCATGAACAGAGAGTACAAGCGTCACAGGCATGCACCCTATCGACCCTGACCCACAGAGATGAACTTTGATTGTTGAACTGTTTTCTCTGTTTTCAAGTAGATGTGTTCTGAGGTCGTCCGGCATGAACTTGCAGGCGGCTTGTCAGAAAGCCTTCGACGACTGGGACCCCAACAACTGGCCCAAGAACGAGAAGTCCATTGTCAAGGGCTCCGAAAAGTTGTCGGTGCCTGCGGAAGATGGCAACACCATCATCGCTGAGCCATAATTCGGTTGGCCACGCAGCGTGCCACGCAGCGTGTTCGCTTTGTGCTGGCCTCATATTGTTTTGACATGGGGGGTTTCCTGTGGATCACGTTTTCCATTTTCTGCCAATTAAGACCTTCAGCAGTGGAGCTGCGAAGGTCTGAAGGCTGTGACCAGAGCAGCCGTGGGTGATTTTGCACAGGCAACGGTAGGGAGCTCCAGACACCCCGGAATTGATGATTTGTATTGGTGGTTCTCCTCTTTATCGCTGCTGATTTCTCTTGGGTGCCTGGCTCGAAATGAAGTTTCTCCCAACATGTTGCTGTATAAATTTTGTCGGAACGGAACTGCGGATGTGTCCAACCAGATCTGCTTCCAAAGAGCTTCCCCCGCAGTGGAACTGCGGAAGTGTCGAACCCGCTAGATATGCTTGCGTGCTTGAGGACGTACGTTCTTTTTGCGGTTCGAGCACCATCAATGCCTTGACGGTCTTTGCACATGCAAAGGCCCGGACTTCCGTGGCTGAAATCAAGTCAGGCAAGGCTTCGCCAGCTCGTCTACCTTAGCAACTAAATTGAATCGCTGACCAACTACGCTCAACAAACTAACTAGCTAGCTTGAGAAACCTTTGGCCAACCAATCCAAACGAGTACCTGATTGACATACTATGCGATACCTAACTGCCCAGCTTCTGACAAAGTAGCTAAGCCAGCAAGAAGGTTATGGCTAAACTGGCTGCCCAACTACCGAATTGTAAAACTCGTTTGCCGGCCTTACTCATGGCTTGACTTAGACCTAAAACACACACACGTTCTGAAAACAAAACGGATAATATGCAGAATGAGACAACAAATGAAATTATGTGTAAGTGTGCTATGAAACAGTCGATGTTGAACATAATGAACAACTCTAGCAATATTGCTGCCAAAAAGTATTATGTTGATATGCAGTGTTACATTGTAATTAGATTTATGTAGTGAATAACATAGTGGATACATATATATATATATATACACAGCCTTTGAACTATGATTTGGTGGACATTAATTACCCGTATTTGACATGTTGGTAGGATTCTTGATACTGATGATATGTTTGACAAGATGAAGCAACGTGCCATGGTAATTGGTTAAACAAGAGTCAAAGCCGGATGCGCAGGTATTTTAGATGTTTTATTGTGATCCATAGTAAACGCTGAATTTGAGAAGCATTGTTCAACGCATGTTGGAAATGGTCGAATTGTGTTTGCTTAGGCTTTGCGAGTTTGACAATTCAACGCCTTTTCGAGTGTGTGGTATTCATGTTTGTACAGATTGACTGTTTTGTTGTTGTTTAAGTTAGTTGTTAGGTTGATAGATTTGGATGCTGGACAATATTGGTTGTTTTTTGAACATGTGTTCATGCATTGCTGTGGGTAGACTCGGTGACGAAAGTCCCAAAAAGGAAAATCATAATGAAGACGCGACGTTAGTTTATGTGTTTCTATGTGGTTATTTTATGTTTTTGGAGGAACCAATTATATTACTCACTGTACCATTCCCTTTGTCAAGTGCCCGATTTCGGGGTGGATCGGAGACTGTTCCGTTCCCTTGTCTTTTGGGGAAGAACCCACCAAAGCCATGCAGGAAACCTGAGGTGTCACCCACTCCAGGTGACTTACAACCACGGGGAAGGAGGCTATAGCGAGGTTACTAGGGCAGCTCCCCAGTTGAATGGTTTTGAACTCAACCATCCACCCAAGACGTTTCCTGGATCCGCAAAGAAGTTTCTTGGATCCCCTTCCGGTTCAGTCCCGTGGATTCATCTGGGTGTGTCTTTGTTTCGGGTACCCAGTTTGTGGGTTTTAAAGGGGAGCCACCTTTGGGGGGTCCAACCTTAGAACAAAACCCGCCTCCTTCTTCCTGGATCCGAACTCCCGAAACGCCGATGCTCGGCTTGAGGCCACCCCCCACCTGAACGGCAAGCACGTGGTCTTCGGCAAGGCATCTCTCTGATCCGCCTGCGAGCGGATCATTTTTTTTTTTTGGTTCGATGCACACCTTTTTTTTCCTCACTGAGATCCAAGAGAATGGTTGCATTGAAGCTCTCCCAAGCACCTGTCATTGGGGGTGAACACATGAACCAATAAAACAACTCACACATTTGCTTGGCCCAAATCATGAAGGTGAAGACGCACCTTTTGGCAGAGTTCTGGTTGGACATCTGATTTATGGTGGTGCCCCCCCCCCATTTTGCCCGATTCCCCCGGTACTTCGGGCGGACATTTCCAATTGATTCGTTGCACGGAGGATAGCAACGCGACAAAAATTGGGTTTTGGTGCGGCTTCAGGGCTGGAAGGACAAGCCACGGACGCCGATAGGAGAATTTCCGAATCCGGCTTTGAGGTGCCAGGGAAAGGAAACCCAAGGAAACAAGAACCAGAGGCGCTCAGGCTGAGCAAAGGTATGTGTAAGCCGTGTCGCATATGGATTTCAGACAGCGCGATGGGGACATTCAGGCTTTTTGCATTTGTTGCAGGTGAAGGGTGCATTTATTTGGCTTCTACATCAGGATGCTCTATTTCAGGAGATCAGGGTATGGTTGGATTGCAGGTTCCAAACAGCGCATTTTCCACGGGCGAATCCAAGCAGGACGGGCCCCATTTGTAGCACCAAGTCTCCCGGGCCCAAGTCTCCCAACACCACCTGGCAGCCAGGTTGTCGAGGGTATGGACGTTGCTTGGGCCCCAGATGCAGTTTCCGCATTTGAGTGGAGGGTGTGCCAGGCGTTTGAAGTGACAGATAGCGGCCTTCAGACTCCCATTTTGGAAGCCTTTCGCAGGTCATGACTCAGTAACTCAGGGTCCCCGTTGACGCGTAAGGGAGACGGGCAGCTTGGCAGCTCAGGATCTCTCAAGGTGTGTCTGGATATATTCTTGGGACCCTGTCCATGGGGGCTTCGCCCAAGATCTGCGTGCTTTCAGGGAAGTTCAATTCTGCAATAGGCGAAAAATCGTTTTTAATTGTTCACCGCGGAAAAAAAAACGCTCTCCCTTTGCGAGCCGTGTTCTGGATTGGTTGGCCGCCCTATAGGGCTCGTTTGAGGAAGGGCGCCACTTTCACGGGGCGGTTTTTTGATGGCTGTCTATAACAGGAAGCCACTCCCGTTAAACGGACCAGGCCCAAACCAGGTCGCCCCACAAGCGTCAGGTTCCATGTTAAAATGGAACCCTGGTAAATGGAAACAAGGTGGTTCAAGGGTGCCTGGTTTTCTAGGGGTTGATTCCCATTCTTTTCAATCATCGTTCTTTTCAACAACCGATCGCTGTTTCCACTAGAGTACTGATGGTTTTCTGGAATGCGGATCCCGGGAAAGAATGGAAATGGAAGTGTCCCCTAGAATTTGAGGGCTCTCAAAACACCTTTGAAGGCTTCCTTTTAAGCCACGACTTGAAGCGTCCCCTAGAGGTTTAGTTCTGGCCCATGCCCAGTTTCCCTTGAGGTGACCCACAAGGAAGCAGTAGAGAACCAGATCCGGAAGCAAGGCGTTTTACGCTCGATTTTTTTAGGACTCGGAGCCGCAAGCTAACTGGGCACACCGCCCGAAATTGTCCGTGTAATATCGTGCATTTTGTTGCTTCGGAGCAACCTGCCCAAGCTGCGACTACAGGGGGGAAAGGAGAGCGCTGTCTGTTCCTCGTGTGAAATGCGCCGAGCCAGTGGGAATTTCTCGCGTTCCCGAATCGCACTGGCACGCTGCTTTCAAAAGCTCCGTCTTTCAGCCCCCAACTATCGTCCGCCAAGCATTTTGCTATGTTGGAGACCGCACATTGCCTAGGAACCGCATGATGGCTTCTCGTTTCAAAAACCGATGGGGGGAGGGGTCCTTATTATGTTGTTCACCCAAAAGTTAGTGTCACTTTTTCGGTTGCAGGCAACACACAGGCTCTTGAGAAGTCAGCGTCGTCTGTCAAGCATGTTGCCATGCTAGAGACCGCATGTTGCCTGGGAACCGCATGATATGCGAGCCCTTTTGGGTGGTTTTCAACATCACCTTTTTGGCGCAACTTGTGAGTGAAAATCTAGGGAGCCCTGCAAATATATTGCCACGGGTCAAAATCC